AGAAGAACAGAGTAGCAGAGAGAAAAGACACAGTGGAGGTTTGTACTGTTGACTCACCTCCAGCACAAGTAGCTGAGCATTCAGACCAGGGCAGGTGGTGCCAGGAGAAGCCCACCTCGTTGTCACCGCTGCCTGTGCGCTGGATGGGCACGTTGAACTTGTAGCGTATACCGAGGTTCTGCTCCTGCAGGAGGACCTGCAGCAGACAGAGGTTGATTTGTGTTGTTAAACTTCTACTCAGTGTTTATTCTGACCACTTGAGGAGCAGTGCAACAAGCAGCTGATATATTATCAGTTTAATGACTTGTGTTTTGATTGTGTTAGTAACAAGTAGATTATTTAGACATCAAGCAGACAGGGAGCAGCATTAGCATTAATTTAACTGCAATAATCACTCTCCTTATTTGGTCTCCATCAGCTCCTGAAGGAAAAATGTGTCTCTTTAGCTACTAAGTGCTCCACTGTGTCATCTCTAACCCTGCTGTTTGCAGCTGGGTAGGTAGCAAACAGAGTCTTAATCTCTTTTTTGCTGAATCCAGCTGATGAGAGCACCAAGAGTGAACCAAAACAGTAAAGTTGTGGCCAAAACAATGACCTGAAAGGTTTTACAAAGCTCCTTAGACCTGAGGAGGGATACAGAATCAGGTCAGATCACTCAGACGAGACCAGAACAGTCCACATTAGTGAGGTTCTGTGGGTTTTATATCAGTCTGCTGGATGCAGAGGGAGACTGAGGAAGTCGGGCTTCATAAGCCACAAAGAAATAGCCAGTGGTCGAGTGGCCGGTTGCTTGTCTATTCCAGTGGTGCTGTGTGGTCTGGTATTTTCAGCGTTTATGTCGAGGCAGAAACCACTGAGTACTACGACAAGAAAATGCTCAGCGGCCTCACATCAGCTCAAAAACATGCAGGGAAATATAAAACCCATTTAAAATTCACACTGACATGTATCTGGCAGTTAATATCGGCGAGGAAACTAGCATAGAATAACGTGGATGTTCTCCCAATCATGTAACATAGCAATGTTTTCACGCTCCACATTTGAATAGCTTTTAACCCCAAACCATTGGCTGAGGGTCAGCTGAGGTTAACACCCAGATGTTGAGACACATTAAGAGCATTAACTGCTCAGCACATCCGAAAAGATATGGACACGGAGTTGCAATGTAAGAGGAGTTATTTAGCTGTTCCAGTAGTTAATGTCTGCACAGTCTCTCTTCAGAGTGCTTCCACAGCTCAGATGGACATTAGACTGAAACAGCTGTAAGAATTCTTTAATAGAAAGTTAAAGGTGAGTCAGTGGGCATGAAAAATGAACAGTGCCCTGTGAAGCTTTTAGTCACTGAGTCATATTTATGAGCAAGTCCCTCTATGGTTTCACAGTTTTCCACTAACAGTTGACAGAGGTCACATCATGTGAAGAAATGTAGCAACGCACCACCAAAGGCAAGGAAGATGACAAATAACAGGCAACTTTGTTTACTTACAATAAATCTCCACAGGTCACCTTAAAGGAGAGAAATCAACTCTGATTTCAAAGAGTGTATACAAAAAAAAGTCTAACCCCAGAGCTTAAAATTCTGCCGTATGTACAGCCAGTAGTGAGCAGAAACGTAGAGTTTTCATCACCTCCAGTAGTGCTACAAGTTAGTCTCCATATTTTTGTCTGATGCACACAAGTGAGGATGAACAGTCGTGTATGAGTGGGATACAGTACACACTCCTGCTAATGGTCTTACATACACACTATGTTCTGATTAAAAAACTGCATTTTAAAGCATCTTCGCACTGTTTCAGAAACACCTGAAAAAGCATATCACATGGCAACAAAAAATAAGACCAGAGAGTTTCTTAACTGCACAGCAGCTGCTGCTGACATCCAGGTCAGCAATGCCTGTAGTCTAATTCATTATCTGTCCCTGCGTTCCAGCTTGCATACTATTTCTTTTTACTTTCAGTACGTACTGCAGCTGCTCTTAGAAAGAACATACTGTTGTATGCAGTACACAAACCACTGGGACATACTACTTTGTCATATTATGGTTACACAGTGTGTCGTATCCTCTGCTGTGCATAGGACTGTGGGTGAGAATGGCCAAAAAAGCATGGTGGCTTGCATACTTCAGATGCATACTAGCAGACTGTATTTGACACATTGGGGCATACTGAATCGCTCCCTGACATACAATTTAGTAGTATGGGTGTTGCAATATACCTTATATTGAATTAACAACTGGTATTTAATATGTCTTTGTTTTTCAAAGACAGTCACGTGATATGTGCATGATGAATCAAGGCCCAGTCAGAAAGCAAACATGGTGTCTGTGTCATGTTTTCAAAGGTTTTTTTCTACCCTTCCAGCCTAAGTAAGAGTTTTAACACTAAATCAAGTTGAAAAACAATTTTTTTTAAAAAATCTCTTTTTACAAAGTTAGTTAAAGGAAGTTAAAGGCAGCAAAAGTTATGCATTTTAAAACAGAATGCACGCTAAGATGTGTAGCAATGCAGAAAAAGAAATGTGGGGAAGAGGAGAGCTGCAAGCTAATAAACATGAATGTAAACAATGCTGGATTTAAGACACTTTCAAGACATTTAGTAGAGCTCAGAGTATCCACAAGGTGCTTTTTGTTAGCAACAGTAAATGCAAACATAACTTTCGCTTGTTTATAAGAAAACTTCACAGAGCATCAAGTCACTGAGAGATCTGAGTCAGTTCTGTAGCTACAGTGATTTGTTCCTAAACCCAAACACAGCTGACACCTAAAATGAGATGATACAAACACAACATATGTTCATATCATGCTCGACCATGATATTTATTTCTCATTTCATTACCATACAAGTAAAAAGAGGGTGCTTTTGTTTTTGATATGGCTGAGTCACCGACACTTTTCTTCAGTTTCAAGAAGTGGCACTGTGATAACCGACTTTTGAATCACTGATATCGTGAACACTGCAGAGATGATGCTTTTTTGCTCATTCTGTGCTACTTTGGCTCTTGTGCATGTGAGTTATGTTTATGTACTTATCAATTTGTGTTTTCGTTCACTCACTTTGCAATACTACGATGGTGACAATAATAAAACTGTAATTTTGACTCGTGTTTCAAGTGCATGACACACAGGAAAAGAGATGTTACATTACCATGACAAACAGGTTTTCGGTGGTGGCCCCCAGTGCCTCTAAAGACTCTGGTTCGTCCGAGGGTCTCCTGTAGTGGAAGGCCGTCCCTGCGATGTCAAACTTTCTTGGCCAGTCGATGGTCCATGCTCCGTTGATGTAATAATCATCCCCCTCGGATTTCAACGCTGAAACAAGAAATACTTTTAGAAAGCTGAAGTCAAAAGCAGACAGGAACGGTAGCTGGAGACAATCATTTGGTGTGATGTCACTGCCAGTGTCCGTCTTCTTCATCATCATCTTCAGCCTCCCTGATGTCACTGACAACCTTCTACCCCGACAGACTCAGCAGAAACACAGACACACACACATGCACACTCAGCCAACAAAGACGTTCACGTGCGCCGACACGTACTTGCGTCTAATTTAGGAGGAGAAGGAAAACACAGCTCAGGTGAAAGCCTGGACGAACCTCATGAATACCACTCTGTCTGGTTGTCAAAACAAAAGCTGGTCTCCAAGCACAACACATCTGAAAATATCCACTTTCTCTGCATTGACATGGGGCCAAATTGAGAAGAAACAATCCAAACACAGGCTATTCTGACTCTCTGGCTCTGCAGATTCCCCTCTGCAGCATTTCGATTACATGAACAATAGTTTACTGCTCTTTAACATATCACAATCTCAGTAAGTTCTTTTTCAGCACATCTGGCACTGATTGAGGGCATTGTGATTTCTGAACAGTTTACACAAGTCTTCACAGCCGCTGGATTTATATTGTCTCACACAGCCTTAATAAAACATTAAAATATGCAAACGTTGCTGACCTAAATAGCAGCGACTCAGACAATGCTACATAAGAAAAATATTATCATTATCACTGAGGTCACACATGAAATTCATAACAAAGTTACAAATTGCTTGGACGGGAAAATCAAGTCCAACACAATAGCTAAAATTGCTCTCTTTAAACTTTGATATATAGACATCATATCCCCCGTAATCCTGGCGGACCAGGCAGCTGTCACCACGGCCCTATAAATCTGATGCAGCTTTCTGCTTCAAAGTGTAACTTAAGCCCTCCATCAACACCATCCGCTATAAATTCAACACGCTGTCACATGTCCTTCTCTTGTTAATGAAAAGACACAGAACCGACTTAATTGAATCCGGTTGTCTGATTGTTTTGGTTCTGACACTGCCAGTGTTGCAAATAGTTTTTGTTTAGTCTGGAATGAAGCGGATGAGTGTGGTGCCAAGGCAGCCATTATATGTGCAAAGATTCAGATGCTTTTTTTCCTACAGGCTCTGTTATATGGCCTCACATTAGGCAACAGGAGATTAAATGATGGCATCCTCTAATTCTTTCTTGACAAAGACACAAGGAAATCCCTGGAATTGTGGTTGACACAGAGCTGAACATATAATGTGAAACAGCCTGATGTCGCAAATTGGCAGTTCATCGCGCTGCAGCGAATTACAGGGTTTGCAGTGATTGATGGATTGATAGTGAAACAAGGGTTTGCAGCAACACGAGTAAATCTGTGAAACTGTACAAGGTTTTAGACTCAGCCTCGGTCCTCACGCAAGTCACAGAGTTAACTACTGACCTTTCTAAAATGTAATTAAAAAAGAACTGTGAAGGTTCTGTTCTAAATGAAAAGACTCCTCTAATCATAAGGATAAAAAATGTTTTTGTTTGCAGCCTGAAAAAAGAGATTTTTGACTCTTTTTTTTTTTTTTTTTTAGCAGTTTTTTAGCCAAGTAGTAATCTTTGTTTTAAATCAGAAACAGAGGTGCAGCTTGCAAAACATGTTAAAACCCAAATAGTTATATGGTTACCTGTATCCCTTCCATTATCTGTCCAGATGGTTGGCTTTAAAGTCCCTCTCTGGTCAACGGCTGCCCTCCCTGAGCCTAGCTCTGCTGGATATTTCTTTTTTTCTTCCTGCTGTTGCTGAGCGTATGCTCAAAAGGAATCCAAAGGAAACTTTGGATTTGTTGGGTTCCTCAGTGTAATTTTGTCAGGTTCTTACCGTACAATGTAAGTGCCATGAGATGACATCCATCCATTATCTATACTCGACTTAATCCTCACTAGGGTCACGGGGGGGCTGGAGTCTATCCCTATCACAGGGCCACACTTAGAAACAGACAACCAAGCACACTCACATTCACACCTACGGACAATTTAGAATCACCAAATAACCTCAACATGTTTTTGGAGTATGTGGGAGGAAGCCGGAGAACCCGGAGAGAACCCACGCTGCATGGAGAGAACATGCAAACTTTACGCAGAAAGATTCCGGTGCCCCCACCGGGACGCGAACCGGCAACGGTACCAACTGCACCAACTGAATACTGGAGTAATTCAGCAAACCTGTTTGAACTGCAAAACTATTGGGAAGAACAATTATGATACAGAAAGTCCCACACTACACACTGACAGGATTGGTTCCTTCGATCTTTAGTTGTGAAACCCCAAAAGTCTAAAACCATGTTTTTGAGACAATGTCATCCACTGCAGGGACTCACAGATTGTTTCAGGGCTGCCTGAACCTTTATGTGTGTTCCAACTGCAAGACCCTCCCCTATAAAACCTCTTTCAAGACTGTTTCCTGGAGAATAAGAACCCACTCCAGTGTATGGACTTCTGAGCAACCCTGAAAAACAGATGACAAAGCTGATTGCTTAATTCTAGGAGAACAACAAGTGCCATGTTTCTATCCATTGGATGTCCTTGTACAGTGGCCATCTTCTGCACTCAGACATTACCATCAAAAACATAAAATTCCCCATATAGGCTAACACAGCAAACCTCCATTGTTCTATTTAATACGTACTCACAGAACTGATGTTGTGTCCCGTAACTACTATCAAATTGGACACAGAAAGGTCTAAAAAGGTCGATTAGTATCCATTCCTGTAAACGTTCACGCTACGTCATGCCTGCCCCAAGTTCCTGCAGTGTAAAACCACCAATTGGCTTTGCAGGTATTTGATCATAAACCAAAATGGATAGTCAATCATCCTCTGGGGATCATGAATGTCTGCACCAAATTTCACAGCAATCTAATTAAAACACTCGAGCGAAAGTCAGGAAAATCACCATGTTTTTAAGGGAGATTCATCCTCTTGCCACGACTGTCTCCACCAAACTGCATGGCAATCCATCCAGAAGTTGTAAAGACATTTCCCTTAACCTCTGAACCCCAAGCAGTTTCTTTGCTCCTGTCACATTTTTACTCACTGTGGGCTCATTTTTCACTACAATATAAAATCCTGCACTTGTATGGAAACAGCTCAACAATGACAAGAAGAGAACTCAGGAAAATCTTTTGTACTGAATACCAAAGTTAGACACAGATCACAAATCCTACAAAGAAATCAAGAAAAACAAAAGTAGACTTTTTGGATGATTTGATTTACAAAAAAATTAAAATACAGGAATCAACATGTACAACATTTTCCAGGTACCCACAGATGTTACCAATACTGGACAGTCACAAGATATTTTACTAATTACATTTGTAGTGAATTTGTTTCCATCCTGTCCCCTCTGTGCTCTGTGTAAACACAACCTGCAGTTCAGCTCAAAACTCCCTGAATGTTTGTCACGTGACAGTTGATCACAGCTGGGTCAGCGCTTCATGACTGCAGAATTTTGTGTTGTTCATTAAATCTGCTTAGAGCTAATGGAGGATTGTTGGTGAATTTGTAAATGAATATGTAGAATATAGTGACTTTTACAAAATTTGGCATTTTTAAACATTTTGTGAATTTCCCTACAGAAGCACACATGGCACATGATTAGTTCAAGGACGACTAGAAAGCTAAAAATCCAGTGTTTCTTTGTTATTATAATTGCTGGCTCTGATGAATGCTGTAAATTTTGTGATTTTTTATTTTTTTTTTTAACATTGCTTTCCAACCCACTGATAGATTTTGGAGTTCAGAGGTTAAAATCACAAATGTCAACCTCACGGTGGTGCTACTGGGAAAGTCATGGGGTCATGAAAGTCAGCAGGGTCCATCCAATGGGGACTTTTGAGTGTTTATGCAAAATTTCACAGCAATCCATCCTGTAGTTGTTCATATATTTCACTCTGGACCAAATTTCCACAAGCACAACAGTTGTCATCAAATGTATTCATCCCCTCCCATTAAAGAAGTAAAAAAAACAGCTGTCACTGAAATAAGTTGAAATTGATAAAAGTAATAATAAATAAATAAAAAATGAAAATCATGACATTGCTTTTGTATTGTGGTTCAACAGAAATATTTTTTTTTTAAAAAACAAAAACAAACAAAACAACAACAAGCAAACAAGCATGATGGGATCTGTAAACTAATATTTTGTTGAACAACCCTTTGAGCCAATCACTGCAATCAAGTGTTTTCTGTAACTCTCAATCAGACTTCTGCACCTGTTGACAGGTTTATTGATTTTGGCCCACTGCTCATCAGCAAAGTGCTCTAATTTGTCCGGGACAGTTTCTTTTTGTTTGTTTGTTTGTTTTTTTGTTTTAATTATTCCTTTCAACCACAATTCAAAAGCAATGTCTTATTTTACAAAATTATAATTTAGCAATTTTTTATTTATTATTACTTTTTTCACTTTCTAGTTGTTTGAGTGACTGTTGTGAATTTTGCCTTTTCTTTAGTGGAAGGGTATGAATACATTTGAGAATGACTGTAATAAAAGTAAGGCTCAAAAAAGTCTAATTCTGTATGAATATTTTAAGGCTGTCACTTACCAATATAATTCTTTGACATGGCAACTTCTTTAATCTCAATGTGAACTGATCCTTTGGGGATCTGAACCACCTCCATGTAGCCTGGAAGACAAGGACAGGCATCATTATGGTCATATTCCTCCCACTCAAGGCCCCCAATGCTCATTTCTATGTGACATATTTTACAACAGAGAAGACATAAAGTTAGGAAGGAGTACATATAGAATAAATTCCAAATCACCCAAAAAGGACAAAGCAATCCTGCAGGAGGACAAAACAACCCCCTCCTTTT